GCGCGAACCAGCCGGGGGAGGCATGGCCCCCCGCGGCAAACCCTCGCCGGGGTCCGGCACGCTGCAGTCCGGACGCTACTTCGCTTCTGAGGGTCTGGCGAGGGGTTAGAGAGGTGAAATCGCTCTTGCTCCGGAGCCGGGTTTGAGCCAGGGCGATGCCGTCAGCTCCGTTTTTAGGGGAGATAAGGGCGCAGGTGAGTCAAGGCCGGCGGGGGTGCCCGCGTTCCCGCGAGGGGGAGATGAGGAGCTCCGCGTCGAAAGCCGGCACACCTTTCCTCAAGCCGGGCGTTGCCTGCTGTGCAACGGCTCCGGCCCGGCTCAGCCGAGAGTTTGGCACGTCCAGGTTTTTGGTACCTACGAGTTTTACAGGAGGTTTTTCCAAGTAGTGCGTTTTTAGGGCTGAATATGAGCTTCCGGAAAAGCTCAGCTCGTTAGATCACAGGAACCGACGGGTAATTTCTGTCCTTTCAAGCGCGGCCAGGTCCGGCTTCGCCGTATCCACCAGTTTCCTCCCCTAAAACCTCCCCGAAAAACCAGGAGCTGCTGCTACCCTTTCCGAGGTGGAAAGGGAAGCTCTGACACGTGCTGCAACACGCCAAAAAGAAAAAAAAAGAAGGAGGAAAGCAGAGAAATATTCCCAAGCCAGACAGAGGAACTAAGGCTCGTTTATACCACCAACCGGCACCCCTCGTCCTGGCACTGCCAGAACGGCTCTGAGGAGGAGCGCGGGGTCCAAACAAATCCTCATTTCCCAATCCCCGGTCGTCAGTCCTCCTCGTCAGTGAGAGCTGTCGCTGTTTGGGTGCTGTGGAAAGCTCTGCCAGAGCATTTCCCTGGCTCTTTGCGTAACCGGGGCTCCTGCCCAGCAGGTCTGCGTCATTAAACAGGCATTAACGTGCCGCCACCACCACCAGGTAAGTAATCTGCCGTCAAGGATCCAACTTGGGATTGAAAAGTTGCCTCAGCGGGATTAAGTAGGCAGATTATTTTTAAAAAAGAGAGCCAGAAAGCCTGAAACGGGCTTAAGCGCAGGAGAAAAAACGCGCCCGACGCCAGCCATCGGGATGAGCATCTTTATACCACCGCACCGGGAACTGCCACGGGATTTTTATGTACAGGTTCTCCTGTGGAAAAAGTCAGGGGTGCAT